GACTGTATGTTCTCTCTTGGGTTTCTGGTTATAAGCTTCCATTTAATAAAAAACCAGTACAAACTTGTTTTTACCAAAACCATGTTTTACGTTAAAAGATCCATCTAAATTAGAGGAGGCTATTGCTCTTTTATTACAAATAGGAGACTGGTCCAAAACCTGGTTAGTTTCTTTCACCAATTTTCTTAGTTCCTAAACCTGACGGTTCCTCCACATTTATATTGAATCTCAAAGCTTTGAATCGATTTCGACCACCTCCCCATTTCAAACTAGAGGATTATAGGACGGTTTTTAAATTAATTTATCCAAATTGTTTCTTTACATCGCCCAATATTAAAGACGCATATCTTCTAACAGAGTTACAATTGCGTAATAAATGGAACAAGAAAAATGAAATTTCCATTAAAATTGGTGATATGGTGGTAATTAAAGAAAACAATATTTCGCCTTCGGAAGAATTGCAGATCTTCACGAGTACGAGTTGTGAGTGTTCATACTAAACGTGGTATTTTAAAACGTTCACTGTTAAAACTCGGGATATTACAAGTGACTTAATTAAAAAGTATTAAGAAATTCACGGAATTTCAACCCGGGCAGTATATTAATTATTATGTGAAGTATGCTTTGGGTTAATATCGAATGTGAAATGAAGAAATTTTAGCTGGGTTTCAGTGTTGTCCCAATATCGGACTAATTAGCTTCATGTACTATATTGTAAAAAAGAGGTTTACAATGGGATAGATGTCAGAGCCAGAAGAGGACCAGAAACCTATAGCGTGTACTATAAGGGTCTTGGGAAATAAAGTTTGAAACGAAAGCACACACAACAACGGTAAACTGTATCTAATTTACGCTTTTTCTTGCACCTTATACGGTTTTTGCTTCACTACACGTACAAATAATAAATACACATGCTCAGAATTTTTCTTCAGCGTTTAAAATTAGCGTTAATTTTCATAAATTTTAGATAGCTCCATATTAAAAGCATTTTTTTGAAGTGTCGCGATTACATTATAATGGACAATTAGTGCATGAGATAAAAGGCAAAAAATTCCTTTGTTGCCGTATTGTGCTCGAAAGAGTCGTTAATGACTGTGCAAACGTAGACATCTATACACATAATCAAAGCTCACTCCTCCCTGATATACATTTACGCTGGATACGCTTACATTTGTTGTAAATTGCGTTTCTATATTTAATGAGAAGGGTAGCCAACCGATGCTGATATGAATTTCATAAACTGAAAGCCGAATAAAGAAGAAAGATAACAATACACACGTAACTTTCACCTTCTACATAATACATCTTCCAAACCCCACAAGTGGGTAGTCAGGCATTAATGTCTGATAAGCAGAAACTGAAATACTTCATGCAACCGAGAATTATTCAGGAGCTGTTACGTATTAAAGCACAGCATCGGCAGACGTACCTTAAATTGTGACGATATTTAAAAATCAAAACGTCACCGGTCGAAACATCCCCTTAGTTCGTTGGCAAGTGTATAGAAATACGGTTTAATCGTTTTATCGACCCCGGTGTTTAGTAGCGCACGCTATCGACTAATTATTACTTAGCATGCATGCTCGAACTTTTATTCAGAACCTATAATACAGAAACTTTTTTTAATCAAGAACCCGGACGGAACAGAATGGATGTGAAAAGTTCGCAATTTACTTCCTCTAAAGGCAATTTAAAAAGTAAAACATTCAACACTTTCAAAGCGAGAGTTAATTAAAACACTGATATGTAGAGGTGTCAGCGATTCCTTTTTCATTCCAAATTGGCCGCTATCGATTTTGGGCGTTCCATGATTTTAGAGGTCGAATAAAAGATTATATGTTGCTTTATCCTGAAATTCCACGTAATGTATAAATTACTAAGCAAAACAATATTAAATTGTACAGTTTGTACCGAATACCAAAACTACTAGCTCTTTATTTAAAACAACCCACACTGTTGGATATCTCCTACTTTCATATATGGAGACCTTTATTATTTGAATCAAGCAATCGTTTTTTTTTTGGGGTAGAACGTTGGAAAGAGAAGTTGGTGGTGTAAACTGAAGAGAAAACTGAAAACTAAATGGTTCCATATTTAGTTATAAACTGTTGGATGGCTTTGTCACATTTTTAATGATAGATACGGCACATAATTATGTCTAATTTACCTCTAAGGGATAAAGTAGGGGAGGAATTTTACTACAACAATGTCACAGAAATACACTAGATATTTACCTAATTAGTGAAGTTGGAGACATGAAATATTTTGTCTTTAGCTTAGAAGGGTTGGGTTGGGATATTGTTTTACTGAGACATACATCATCATTAAGTGCCGACATTCCAGGCGACACATAAGACTTTACTTTCCCAGGCCTAAAAGCGAAATCATGTACGACAACGAATAAATACTCATCTGCGTTATATAAAAATCATAAAAATAGTTAATCAATTAGTCGAGATTTACTCAAAATACATTGCGGGCGTATACTTTCTTAATTTTGTGGTATTAATCTACTAGATTTATTACGTGGAAAATGCTCACGGACGGTAGGCTTCATTGGGCGCAGATTTCCATTTATAAATATAATTCATCAAACGAGATTAAACACATCAGGGCGGCATTATATTTATAAAATGGACCGAACTTAAATTAGCGCTTGTAGAAGTAGGGCTCGGGAAATATAAAAGCGAGTAGATGGTGAAATTTAACAATCGTCTACAAATTCAATTATCGAGAACAAAAGAACATTTTCTGGCAGTAAATGGCGGTTGTGGGAATAATTATCCCAGATTTCCTGTGTTGCATAGGCTCGACTTTTAGTAAAAATTCAAGAAAGTTTTAAACAAGTTAATCCCAAACCTTTTTTTTTGCAGTAAACCGTGGAAGAGTAGTTAATTTACGTGTAGATCTAATAAAAGAAGTAGGTAAATTGGAAACTACTGGAATTTGATTGCTTTGTAATAGGTTCGCTTTATTATGGCGTATGAATCGATTGGATGTGAGCTGGAATAAAATAGTTCATCCAATTATTGCGAAAATGCGTGTACTGAGTTTTACATAACAAAAATAATGCGGAAGTGCGGTTCTGGCGTCCACTAAATGACGCTCCGAAGCAAATTCATTTCGAGCATATTCCTATTCGCCCTAGAAAAGCTCTTCTCGTTGGAATATTCGCTCTCTGAAACTTCCCCTTTCGGTCTCGGAATATTCGCCATGGAATCTTTGCTTTATGTATCGAATGGCGAAAATAAGGTGTATGGGGACTGTGGAGTGCGATGTCTCTTCTTCACGTTAAAAGAACCTCAACTGATTCAAGTGTGGAAGCAGTTGACTCCTCGTTTTCAGAACTTCCAGCTGCTACTCCGTCTGGTGTATCGACCAGTAGTGCTACCACTACTTTAACCAGCACTTTGGGACTTGAAACTGTTGTTCTATTAGCAACCGCTATCGTAGATATTTTTGACGCTAAGGGCAATAGTCATGCTATTAGAGTATTGTTGGATTCTGCTAATCAGGCAAATTTTATTAACGAAAAATGTGCTCATCGTCTTTGTTTAACTAAACGATCCTTAACTACTGCGATTTTTGGATTAAATCAGATGCACTCTATTTCTGCCAAGGGTGTCGCGGCATGTGCTATCCAACCCCATAAGGCTACTGGACCTATTTTTTCGTTTGACGCGATCGTTATTTCAAAATTATGTCAGGATTTACCGACTTTTAACATCAATGCTCAAAATTGGAAACACTTAGATAATTTGGAATTGGCAGATGGTAATTTCCACGCTGATAAATCAATTGATTTGCTCATCGGAGCAGAAGTTTTTGCTCACGTTCTTAAAGAAGGCCGGATAATTGGCAAACAGGGCGAACCCACGGCTTTGAATACCGTTTTCGGGTGGGTTTTGCTGGGGAAAATTCATAGTTCTCGTGAGACCACTAAAAGGGTAGAAACTTATTGCACTTATATTAATGAAGCCACTCTACCTGAGACTTTACATAAATTCTGGGAAGTAGGTGAGATTTCCTCTAAATTACCCTATTCTTCCGAGGACGCACAGTGCGAACTAATTTATCGGGAAACCGTGTCTCGTACTCGAGAAGGTCGGTTTATGGTTACTCTTCCGTTCAAAAATTCTGAACCTGATTTAGGAAATACCTTCCCTTTGGCTCATCGAAGATTTTTACTTTTGGAAACTCGTTTACTTAAAAATCTTGACTCGTATAACGCTTACTCTTCATTTATGCGAGATTACCTTAAAAATGGTTACATGTCGGTAGTGGATCTAACCAAGAGTTCGTCAGCTTTGTGTTATTATCTCCCCCACCATGGAGTATTAAAATCAGAAAACACAACAACAAAGTTACGCGTTGTTTGTGATGCGTCTGCAAAAAGCCCGAAGGGACTATCCTTAAACGATACATTACTAACCGGACCTAAGTTACAAAAGGATATTAGTGCACTTTTGTTGACCTTTACTTACCATCCTATAGTATTTACCGCAGATATTAAGCAAATGTATCTACAGATTCTCGTAACGCCCCAACATAGAGACTATCAACGAATCTTGTGGCGTTTTTCACCTAATGACCCTACATCGGTATATCGGTTAACAGGGTGTCATTCGGAATATCATCGTCACCTTACCTTGCAATAAGAACCCTAAACGAATTGGCAGAGAGAGAAACGGAAACTTATCCTTTGGCATCCAACATAATTAAGAATCACATTTATATTGACGATATTCTCGCAGGCAGCACTTCGCTTGCTGACGCCCTTGAAATTCAAAAACAATTCAATTCTCATGATGACTGGGGCCCCATTTTTCAACATCTCCTAATCTTAAGGTAGGTGCCGCACCCAACTATAATTGATATCGTTTGCTTGTTCATCAATTATTATAAATTCTACATGTTGGGCAGCAAACATTTTACAGCACATTACCAATCATTATTCTTGTTGCGCTAACACATTGTAATTGTTTTTTACATTTATGACGATTGGCGCATACATGTTGAGGGCCCAGAACAAGAGAGGGATAATAAATAAATAACTAAATATAAGTACCTGATGAAGGGATTTTGTCAAACATATAGCCTTAGTTTTTATCAAGATAATACTATATGCAAATTGCATACTAAAAGTCCACTTTTCATATATGGTCCGAGATCTACTACTGCGATAGACGCTCCAAGCTACCGAGTGCCACGTGTCCTTAAATATTTAAAGAGGCTACCACATTTCAACTCGAGGCAGGTACCTACTGTTTATTTCATTTATAACTAATCTCATCTCACGTACTAAAGCGTCCGTATTTTGAGTAAAGTATCTGTAAGCTTCATAATTTTCAGCTGCGTGTGTACGTTTATGTCTATCTAATGTAAATGAGGATGTCACAGTATTTTACTTTAGCGACTGTTTTCTCTGTAGCGTGTGTCAACTGGGTATATGCGACAGGCAGCGAATGTCATTAACCACATTATTGCTATAATTAACGTCCTTTTACATAATGAATTATATACATTTATTCATGGTGGTTGCATATTAACATTCAGCTTATTTAGTTACATAAAAATATTAAACACTTCTTGTCATATTTTGTTATGTGCCTCGGCTCGTTATAAGTTATACGGATCCTTATCCCAATGTGAATGTCTAATAAATGGATAGCGTTTGACAATGATGGCAAAATTCATGTTACCGATTTTCTAGAGATTCAAAACTAACGTAAAAGGAGCCGCTCATTGCGTAAGAATCAATTAATATACAGTGTATCATGTTATACTAAATGTAGCTTTAATTAATTCATACTAATCACGTTACATGAGACCGAGGAAAGTTACCCTCATTTTTAGTCTTCATTTGTGGGCGTTAATAGGCTGCATCTACAAGAGTTCATATTACAATATCGCATCGATGAATAATTAATACCGAAATTTATAATGTAAAAATGGGTATCACAACCTATTCATGCTAAAAGTCCATAAAATGTTACCATAATTAGAATATACGCGTCTCACTAATTTTATGCAAAAAATGCAAATTTAAATACCCGATGAGCGTACGTGGGTTGGTAAATTTAAACTTATGGCATGTTTATTTAGGTACTGTTCGATGTTACTCGTATTTTAAACAATAAACTACTCATTTTATGAACGTACAACTGCAATTATTAAAATTTACTTGTAATTTGATATACACCGAAATTTCGGACCGCAAGCTGTTATGTCAAATTCGATTATAATCTGTAGCAAGTTGGGTAAGTAACTTAGCCACACGACACGAACGGTGTGTTTTCCGTAAATAAAACGTGAAGAGACTGTTTAAATATTATGAACATTATTATTGAAGTGTGGCAGTTCCCTAATTGAGAATTTTGCGTTGTTGTAAAACGCACGTGAGCAAAAACAATTGATCTTCGCCCACGATCGAACATATTTTTTTGTAACGTGTTTACTGTCTGAGGGATTAAAAGTGGTTAAACTGCTTATATTCAAAGGTCCCAGAATGTTTTTGCACTATATTTTGTTGTAATTTTGATATATTTATTGGATTTGGGAGGCAATAACTGCCTCATACCACAGATTTAAATATACTACAGATGGATCATGCCATGTTAAATTCTGGCAACGGTGATTTGGATTTAAGCCTCTGGTGCGTTAAATCCAAACTAAATTAGTGTTATTCTGCGTCCACAAGGAAGCGCTGTAGAATGAATAACTTGCGCGTGGTTTACAACTGCAATAAGAAAGACAAGAACCGCAAGAACTGTTGCGATAAACAGGGGTATCCGATTACACAGAGCCCAACAAATGTTGTATTGTATGTAACTGACCTTCCCCATTTACACTCGCAATTTTTCTGCTAGCATGCGTTTATGTTAGTTACACATACACATTCCTTTATATCGGAACTCGGAAGGGCTAACCGACGACTGATTATACCTTATTCTGTCAAACCAACAAGATTTGTAATTACGCAGGATGTTTACCGTATAATTGATTTATTTTTTATTATAAGTAGGTACGGTATTTTGTGCGATTTAGGTTATAATGCCTACATCTCTGATCACAGCTTGGCGTGTTCCGTGCTCGTATTTAGATTTTTATAGTATTTTTAATGATAAGACGATCTAAAAGCACAATTATGACGTAGACGAAGTTTTTATTAATTAATCAGAGAAGGTGTTAGGCCTGTCTTTGTGAGAAACAACATAGGTACCTAACAATAGGCGTCTGAGAATTTAAGTCAAGTAAGCGAATATGAGTCGAATGTGAGATGTGACCAAACGTCCCGTTTTGAACGTGACAGTTCCGTTTTTAGTACACTTTCACCTTAAAAAAATAAAATGTTCACACTTTGGCGCTCTTGATATGTCTACCTGTCTGTCTGTTTGTTATTTTATTTTTGTATTCTCATTAAGGCATGAAATGTCCATAAGGGCTGTTAAAATCGAAAAAACAAATTTGAAAATGCACTCTTCGCCTTTGCTCACATGCGGATTAATGATTTTTTTCCTTATATATGCTGGTTGTCCACGACAATCACAACGGGGTTTTATTTCTAGAAAACATGGTTTTGCCTCAAACCATGGCTCTACAAAATTGTTTCTCGTCTTGGTCCATTATTTTTGACCACAGAAGGACGCGCAAATTCAAATCTTTGTGTTTGGATCCCATTCGGATATAATCGTTGAATATTGTAAGGAAGTATATTAACATTAAATGATTTAAAATCAAAAGTTGTGGGGTTTTTGTGGAGACAACGGTAACTGTAGGTAATTTTGGTGGCAAAAATAGTAAAAGGTGTCAACAAAGCCTTTGCAATGGAGGTCGTCCCTGAAATAAAACAAAACTTATAGGGATTGTTGATTTGAGTTCACCATTGTTAAAATTGACTTATTTTTTTAACATTTATAGTGTTCGCATTGAAAAATACTCAAAGAGTTCTACGGCTTAGCTGATAGAAAGTATCAAAAACTGTTGGGTTACATTAAAACAAGGAGCCTAGCATTGATGTCTGCATTCGAAAGAGTTTTCAAACTATTGTTATGTGAAAACACTAGGTACTTTTTGAGTATCTCAATGTCTGAATATTTTGAAGTAATTGTTTGAAAATTTCAGCTCCTAAATTTGGTTGTTTTTCCCACACGCGCAGCCCTGTTAAAGATGGAAGCACAAAGCATATCTGCAATTGCGGCTGTTAAATTAATCGCCCAAGGCTCTAAGGGAAAATTTCGCTGTGCCTATGAGACAAAAAGTTATTTTTTCTTCTCCGTTCCACTGGTAATTTATTGACGAAACTTAAAAAAAATTTGTGGTCAGTTCAAATACAAGTTAGAAGCGTGTAAATGGGGGATTCTCATAAGTGCAATTTACGTTATGTGATTTTGATTACGATTTCTCTTGCGACTTGCGAGTTGCCATAACCAAATATTTCAAGATTCACATTATACGATTTTGTCGTACGACTTGTAAAATTGTATCTTGACGTGCGATTATGGGTTCGACCTCGACCAAAACTGTAGAAGAAGATAGGCAAAACTAAAAATTACCACGTTAGTAAACCACGCGTGGGGATGGCGCCCAGATGTCGCCGTCCCCACATCATGTAGCCCCGTCCCTAAAGTTGTTAATTACACGACCTCGTATGGACACGTACACTCTTCGTCTTTCTACATGCGATTGTCTACAGGCCCTCATTTGCTGCCAGCCAGTCAGCCGGCCAAAGTGATATGAAAAGCTTCTATAAGAACAAATGAAGATGCAATTAGAGTTTTGACATCGATCCTACTTTGCAAAAATGAGCTAAAAACTACCGTAGGCCTATGTCTGGTCCAGAATTGCAGTTAAAATTCGAATTTTCAAAAACAATTTTGGTTTCGTTATTTTTCTCTTAAAGAGACGCAGATACCAAATTTCTGTGAGATCGAAAATGTCGCATTCCAGTTGAGACCCTATATTGGGGAAGTACCGCAGTAGACGTTACAATTTCCACTATATGTACGTGGAACCATTCTGTTCTTGGTATATAAAAATGAATTTCAAAGGCTGCATGATAATGCGGAACAAAATAGTGAAGAAAGTACTTCGATATATTTTGAGATAGTAGTAAATCCGTACGGGTTGTCAAAAAGCGCGGGGTGGCTATATTGCGATTACCGTTTTTGGACGTATCAAAATTTCATCAAACGTCAACGTTTTAGATCATTTTAAGCAACTTTTAAAGAATACAAATTTTTACTGTCTGTTTTAACGCGTATGTACCTATGTACGTACATAGGTTGGCAGATTAGGCATAAAGGATGTAAACGTCATACTATTTTTTTTAAATAGCAATAACGCAAAATTTTTATTAAATTATTCGGAAGACTTTCTTTTTCTGTGTACAACCTATACAAATTATGCTAGGTTTTATTACAAATAAACTTTTTTTCAAATACATACTAGCGCTAAATTTTTTATTTAGTTATTTGAAAGAGATTATTTTTCTTGGTTTAACCTACACAAATTTGGTTTTATTACAAAAAAATATATGTATTAAATTCTCCGAAATACAGCAGCTTAGTGCGCGGTTACTAAATACTTAGGATTTGAAAAGAATATTTAAAATTAATTGTCGGGGCATATTGAAGGACTCTTCAGGCTACAACCAAAA